TCCTCTGGAAGAACAGCCAGTGCTCTAAACTGCCGAGCCATCTCCCCAGCCCCCCAAAACACACCCTTTTAACCACATAAGCTCTGAATAGGCTTAGAAACAAGCACAGCCTGTAAGGTAACATTGCAGAATTTGGAGCTAGGTTTATTGTTTCTATGACGCTTGATCAGCTAACAAATCACATACACTAACAAAACAACTTTCTAATAATCATGCTACACCTGCAAAAAAACAGGCAGGCTCCAAGTCAAATATTTGCAATTTTTTCATCCTAAATCTATGCAAACAGAAGAAATACACCTCCCAGCCTTGTCATAGTTAAAACAATATTCACTCTAGTTTCATGATAACATTTTCCAAATCCCACCATTTTACCAAGTTCCTAACATGAACAAATACCAGGAACTTACTGTGCTCAGAATTTGCATACTTTATCTCTAATCCTCACAAGAAATCTCATTGTACTGATGAGGAAACTGAGGAGGAAAGAAATCAAAGTGATTTCTGCAATGCCATAAGGCCAGGAAACAGAAGGACTGGAATATCATCCTAGTTACCTGATTCCAAGCAACTTTCTTTAGCTAAAGTCACCAACTGAAATGCCAGTTCACCCAACACACACACACACACACACACACACACACACACACACACACACACACTACTTGTCTCAAAGACAAGAGCTGAGAAAAACATTGTACCTAAAAGAGTGGGACAAACCCATGAGTGACCCAGGAGACATGGTCACCCAGTCCAGAAGAACTAGTTTCAAAGACTATTTGTTCAAACTCTAAGACAATCCAGTCTTTCCTCCACTCCTTTCTGTCTCTCAACTGACTTTTTAGAACAAGGGTAAAGAAAGTATATACTCCCAATTTTGGTGCAATCATCAAAAACCTATGAGAAAAGTATACTTCACATTATAGTTGGTTTCTTCTATAGGCTTCAGACATGTAAAACCAAAAATCACATCAGTCACCTACTTATCTATCTATCTATCATCTATCTATCATCTATCTATCATTTATCCATACTTCCTATAGACTTGAAAAGTCTTCCTTACCACACCATAAGCTTACTTCCCAAACTTCCAGCACAAATGAAAACAGCTCTTCTGGGTGTTTAGAAGCAGATCTCCAACACCTGCAGAGCGGAGCTGCTGGTCTGAAGCCTCCGAAGGAAAGGCTGTCTGAAGAGGAGTGGTGAAGAGACTGAAGCTGCCGGTGCTAATGAGGGTGAGCTGCTGGCATCACTACTGCTCACTCCAATGTCTCCCTGCTACACTGTGCAATTGTTTTCCAGATTCCATGTTCTGAAATCTGGCAAGCAGAGAGAGAATGCTGTTCTCACAGACTGAAGTGTTACTTGATCAGCTGCTCCATGGCATGTGGGTGTTTAACTAGTTAAGTGACTGGTTACAATAGGCTCTGCAAAACTAAACCAAGTAAGCACACTGTTTCCCTGAGACTCCTGTGGTCCTCCTCTAGCATTACATTCACTAACAAAGAAAAATAGCATGTCTGCAACTTTGAAGTCCTTTGCATCTAGGCTAGGCAAATAATTCAGATGATAAAACTACAGGCGTGCCACCAACAAAAAATATAACCTGTAATATAAGTCACTTCAGTCATGCATATTAGGTAATAAAAACGCAGCATATGCAACTTCAGCATACTTTCAAACATCACAGCATATACCGCATAATTATTAGAATAAATGCTATCCTTCAGGTGTGTGGAGCAGGTTCTGTGCACAATCCCAAGCCTCTTCTGCCTTTCAAAACGCTAGTTAATACCAGGAATTCCTTAAGCTCTCAGAACCCCAATTAATTTCTTTTAAAGTGGAAACTGTACGCTCCTAGAGCCCTGGGGACTGTGGTTACTATCACTGCCTGTCACAGCACCATCATAAGCTGGAACACAGGTCTCTCGGCTGAAATATGATCAAAAGGCGAAGGCTGAATGCACACACAAACTGACATTTATCAACTGCTGTTTGATAGAACGGTGCAAAGTTCATCCTCAGCTCTGGATCTGACTATGGAGAGCAAACTTCCCAATTATAACAGAAACTTACCCATTAACATGGATGGTTTTCATGAACCATGAAATCAGATTTAGCAAAACAGGAAAAAAGCCTCAGCCCTGGACAGGTGCTCTACCATGGGGCGACAAAGAGGTCAGGTCAATCTTTAAGCACTGGATAGTCCCATACAGTTACATACTAGATAGTCACATACGCTTTAAAACAGATTACACGGGGCTGGAGAGATGGCTCAGTGGTTAAGAGCAGTGACTGCACTTCCAGAGGTCCTGAGTTCAAATCCCAGCAACCACATGGTGGCTCACAACCATCTGTATTGAGATCTGACGCCCTCTTCTGGTGTGTCTGAAGACAGCTACAGTGTATTAATATATAATAAATAAATAAATCTTTAAAAAAAAAAAAAAAAAAAACAGATTACACACTGGGCTGCTGAAATCTGCTACAATTAGAATATGCCAGGAAGATAAAGGATCAATTGGTCAAATGTAGATGATTTTGTCTCTAGTTTTAATTTCTTCTGAATGATTCTCAGCCTTTTTACAGGGAAGATAGGAAAAATATAATTTCTAACTGGCCTTACTTCAAAGAAACCAATACAACAATAAACCACCTGAGAGACGGCTCAGTAGTTAAGAGCACTTGTTGCTCTTACAGAGAGGACTCAGGTTCTATTCCCAGCACCAACATGGTGACTCACAACCACCCTCAACTCTATTTCCAGGGGTTTTGCCACCATTTTTTTTTTAACCTCTTTGGGCACCAGGCATACACATGGTGCACAAACACACAGATAAAATATTCATACACATAAAATAAAGTCCAAAAAAAGTTTTCAGTTAAAAACAAACAAACAAACAAACAAACAAAAAACCCTACAATGATACATATGCAAGCTCCCTTGCTCTTTATTCCTGGGCCAGAGTGAGTCTGATGCTTCAGAGAAAGAAAACACAAACTCAAACTGCTTTCACTTTTGCATAACACAGATCTTAACCTGAGGTCCCTGGACCAGCTTCGAGATGATTGTGTCGTTGCATACAAAATCATGGATGTATTTCACTGCAAAGGGCCGTAAAGACTTACACAGCCCTAGTGAAGAGTTTAATTTAGTGGTGAATCTTTATTCTAAAAACAGTATCTATGTGAACACATGTGCACAGTGGTGATTCAAATAAGCAAGCCGTTGACACAAGGCAACATACCCACCACAGACCAGCCCCAGCGGGGAAACATCACGTGCCACATCTGAGCAGCTTTCCTTTCCTAAGCAAACATACATGCTGTCAACAAAGCATGTGCTCCCTGCCTTTCTCAGAACAATACGGACCCGACTATCCTTTAGAAAAAAGTATATAGACCTTCTTCCCAAAAGACTACACTACTTACACAGGCTATGGCTTGTTCTGTTAAACGTCGCAGCAACAGCAACAACAACATCAAAACCGATGAAATTACTGTGTGCAGTAGGCATCTACTAATTTACTAGGGGTCGGGGAAAAGCATCGTTCAGGTGATACTGAGAGTGCGCTGGAGAAGCATCTAAGGGAAACACCATGAAGATGCTTAAACATGGGTAAGATCCAGGGGGGGAACCAAAGACTGGGTGACAGAGGTTACATCCTGTAGCTTGGTTGTGGAAAACATCTTCCTCCAAAGGCACATTCCTTTGATTGGCACAAGCCATTTCTGACAATGGATCCGCAATGACAGGGGCCGTTCCGCAATCAGGAAGTGTGTGAGTGTGCGTGTGCATATGTGTGTTTGTGTGCTCGCGCGTGTTCGTGATGTTGTCGTTGGGGGAGGGATGAGCTAGATGTAATCAAAGACTGGCCCGCTTCAAAGAGGAGCATATAGGATCTTAAATCCTCAAGACTGACTTCGAGGCAAGGCAGACACATCTATCATTTCTACAAGAGACATCCCTCGACAACGAACATGTTTCATTGAGATGTAACAGGGGGTATCACTCTCTTCGGTGTCTCCGACCTGGGACGCTTCAGTAAAGCCTGATTGGAGGGGAGGACGAAGTGGGGTGGAGAAAGGTCTGCATCGCCCACTGTGCTGAGTGTGGTGCTGCCGGTGGCGAGTGTACATCACATGCGTGTTATCTCCTGGTGCCACAATAACTCTCGAGGGCTGGAGGTTTGGGCGCAACCGCAGGGCGGGGGAGGTAGTGGGTGCAAGCCACCAGCTGCAGGGCAAGAGAATGCTCTCCTCAGCCTGCTAACCCGTGCACCCCGGCCACCCCTTCAGGCCTCGAGGCGAGCCCACTCGCTGCAAAACTGCAGCCAAGCTGGGGTCCCGGAGAGAGGGGGCGGGGGTACGAAGCCGGCACCCCGGGCCAAACTGGGAGTCGCAGGCGCGCAGAGCCCAAGGCCTGCCCGCCGGATGGGGGCTGCTCCGGCCTAGCGCACGCAGCTGCCCCAGCGCAGGCTCCGCCGGCCCCGCCAGCCCGGCCGAGCGCAGAGGAAACGCGGCTGCCAGGGCGCCGCCGCGGCGGGGGGCGAGAGCGCGGGGAAGGGGCTCCTACTCACCCGGGCCGCCGCCGCCGCCGCCGCTTCGGCGGCCCATCCCCGCGGCGGGGGCCTGTCGCCGCGCCGCGTCGCTCCAGTCCCCACCGCCCGCCGGGCCGGCCCCTCCCCCTGCCCAACGTCTGCGCTCTGGGCCGCTCCTCAGACCCGGCCTCGGCCGCCGCCGCCGCAGCGCTACGTGGCCGCCGCTCCGACGTCTCGCGACTCCCTTCCGAGCGCGCGAGGCCGAGCGGGACCGCGGAGCGGGCGGCGCGCGGGGCGGGCGGCGGGGGAGGGGGTGTGCTGTAGGGATGTGTGCGCGAAGGGGGCAGGGAGGCCGGCGGGAGCGCGCGCGCGCGCGCCCCTGCACTCGCCCCCCCCCCCCCCGCGCGGGCGGGACCCCCACCCCCCCCCCCCCCCCATCCCCGGCTGTGGGGTCGGCGCGCATGCGCGGCCCTCGGCTCGGCCCGGGCGCACCTTTTCTCTCTCCTGCCACAATGTGAGCGCTCAGCGGAGCAGATAACCGCCGGCTGCCTGCTCCACCCCCGGCCCTCGCCCACTCCGCCCACTCCCGAGCGCCCAGGTAAAGGCATAGGCTGCGCATGCGCGACGCCTAAGGGGTGGGGGGCGTGGTTTTCAAAAGGAAGCCTAAATGCAGAAGACGAAGTGTCTGTGGGCAGGGGTTAAGCGCCTAAGAAATAGGGAAAGATAGAAGTGAAAAGCGAGGAGAAAGTGGAAAAGTGGATCAGAGTGAGATTTGGAAGTAGATGTCTTGGACTTACGGAATACGGTTCAAAAAGAAAAGAACTCAATTCAAAAAGAAAAGAACTTCCTGACCACCTTGTTAATAGAGAGCAGTGAGTGGCAGAAATAGAAGGGGGGACACACTTATAAGCAGTAGTCATCCTCCAGATAAATGGGGATAGCTGATAACAACTAGGGGAATTTAGAGACTGCCACGATGGTCAGCAAACAGGATTGCTGAGCTTGTCTTGTGGCCAGGAATAGGGAAGTGTGTGTGTGTGTGTGTGTGTGCGCGCGAGTGCGAACGTGTGTGTGTGTGTGTGTGTGTGTGTGTGTGAGAGAGAGAGAGAGAGAGAGAGAGAGAATGTCCCAGAACTGTTGCAAGAAAAGAAGGCTCCACTGGAAGAAGCATGACCACATTATGACTAATTAGCTATTAATCATTAATATAATTAATGGTACTATTAGCTAACAAGGTAGCATTTATCCAAGCTCAGAGCCAAGAGAGAGTGTCTGGAATAGAAAGTGCTTAGGGTACAGGGAGAGGAAATGACTTGGCAAGTGAAGTCTCCATGAAAAAGACCCAAGTTGACATCCCTAAGGTCGGGATAACCCTTTCCCACCAGAAAGCAAACTTCCAAACTTAACTCTACAGCTTAACTGGAACTTGTTATTCTTTATTCTTGGGTTCTACTACTTTTTTTTTTTTTTTTTTTGGTTTTTTCGAGACAGGGTTTCTCTGTGTAGTCCTGGCTGTCCTCGAACTCACTCAGTAGACCAGGCTGGCCTCGAACTCACAGAGCTCTACCTGCCTCTGCCTCCCAAGTGCTGGGATTAAAGGTGTGCACCACTATGCCCAGCTTCTCCTCTTCCTCCTCCTTTTCCTCCTCTTCCTCCTCCTCCTTCTCCTCCTCCTCCTCTTCTTCTTCTTCTTAAATTGCATGTTTATTGCTGTTTTTCCTGCATGTATGACTGTGTGAGGATGTTGGACTCTCTGGAACTGGAGTTACAGACAGTTATGAGCTGCCATGTGATTCCTGGGAATTGAATCCGGGTCCTCTTGAAGGGCAGCTACTTAACCCCTGAGCCATCTTTCCAGTCCCTCCATCACATATTCTTAATAAGTGAAAACTGGTACCTTTGGCACATGATAGAGAGGAATCCTAATATTTAGGTCTATCTCTGTATCTTGTGTCATTTTTTTCCTTTTTTCTCTCCCTTGAGTCCTGGGACTTGCCTCTAGAATCCCTTACTGACCAATGTTCTGCAAGCTTCTGGGATTCAGGCCTAGCTAACCAGATCCAGCTAGAGAGTCCAGTTCTGCTCTCCTTTCACTCCTTTGCAGGCAGGGGGTTTCCTCCCAGTGGTACTAATCCTGCAAAACACAGAGAGAGAGGGAGGGGGAGGGGGAGGGGGAGGGGGAGGGAGAGGGAGAGGG